ATTTACACAATGGACTATTATTCAGCCTCAAGGAATAATGACATGTGGATTGAAGGTAAATGGACGCAATTGGAGGACATCATGTTAAGTGAAGTTAGCCAGGATCAGCAACACAAAAGCTGCATGTTTACACTCATACGTGGAAGACAGATCCAGAGGTAAACATATTCACAAGAACAAGCATGATCATATACAAACTCAGATGTAGAACATGTTTATAACAGTGGAACTACTCTATGGAATGCAGGGAAAGAGGAAAAGGAAAAGAAAATGAAAGAGCATCAGTAACATCATGTAACATAGACATGAAGGTAGAGGATATAATGATGTGTAGTGAAAGCTGTTGAAAAACGGGGCAGGGTGTGGAAGGTAAAGGGGTAAGGGAGAGTAATGGAAGGGGTTGAACATATCAAAGTAAAGCACACCCACAGTGGGCATACTTTGAGACACACCTTTGAACATCAATTTAAATATTAATAATGAAAACCAGTACTGTAAAATAGGTACGGTGTGCGGGGAGGTACTAGTAGGAGGAGGGAGGGTGAAGGAAGGAGATCAATGGACTTCATATATCTATATGAAACAGAACTAAAAAACCTCTTGCATTTGCTTTAAGTTGGGTGGTGAGGGGGCTGAGGAGGAGACACGTTGGGGGCAATGTAACTAATGTACAATACAAATCTAATCAGAATTGTCACTATCAATCCCCCCCATATAATTTTTATCTTTAAAAATTTTGTATAAATTGCATATGTTCTTTAAAAAGAAAGGTTCAAGGTAAAAAAAGATGTTAGTTGCAACCAATGAATATGATTGTCCCATTCAATGGAAAATAAAGTTTCCATTTAATTTACTGTGTCATTCCCAGACAAAAATAAAGGATAACTCACTTTAGGGTTCAACTTAAGCTTCTTTAATAAGTTTATTAATTCTTCATTTTTAGTCATTAAATAAATATCAAATGTCTAGTTTAATTTTGCTATCAATATTCATTGGACTGAGTAGGATCAACCAGTCTAATATAAAATAATATTAGTCCCCAAAGAATGATAGAACATCTAAATAGCCTGGATAATTTTGGAGAATTACTGAAGATGATTGAGAGTAATTATAAACAGGATGAGATTCCAACAATAAGTTGGCCTAATTTACTTATTGAAAAACAGATCCCTTCAAAAATACTATTTGTGTTGCCACAAGGTATTTGACTCAGCTCAGTAATATTTAATAATTTGTTGCTTATTAATTTTATGTCATGGTAATGGCTATTTGTTTTTTTTTAAAAGAGGCAATAAGCAGCATTATTCCTGGAGATTTAAATTCTTTAGGGGAAATTAATTTCATAACTAACCAAAGAGTAATTGTCTTCTACCCTTCAAGTTTCCCTGGCTTAGTGTTGATTTCCATACTTGAGTTAACATATATGCCAATTCAAGCCACCATATATAGAACATGGATAGACGATTCAAAACCAATTTTCATCACAACTGAAATCTGCCTACTTAATTAATTAATTCTCTAATATAAATATTATCAATAGAAGAAAATTCACATATAAAATAGTAAGTCCCTTATTACAACTTATTCTCTAGAATTAGTGATATATATTTTAAGCTTGAGAGAACCCTGTAGGGTCACTTAGTTCATTGTAGTAGTTATTAATAGCTGAAACCAGAATGTATCATGCTTTATGTAGGATCTACATATTTTATCACATTTAGTCTAATTCTGAGTTATTACTATTCCAGTTTTATAATGGTGTAAACTGAGGTAGAAAAAAATTAATAACATACTAAAAGGTACACTATTAATCAATAATAAGCTGAACCCAATATTTGAACCCAAGTCTTTCTGACTTGAAAGTCCACATATAAAGTTAATAACTATAATAATGTAGCATTCAGAATAAAATAAGCCACAAAATTCTCCTATACAATAAACCCTATCTTCACAGACTCCAGAAAAGATCATTACCTCAATAAATTATTTTAATTCTAAATCCCTTGTATTCAGTAAATACTCATCAAAGTTGATAAAAATGATATAGTACCAATGAGGTAAGGCCTATGGAAATGATAGAAGGTTCATGATAAGAAAAAGTGCATGGAAATAAAATGCTTCGGCTTGAAACACAGAATCCAATGAAAAACTTATTTTAGAACATATCTCAATTTCTCCCAAGAAGTAACTGAAAATTAGACAATAATGCAAATTTTTATCATGTATTTGGTATACTAGCAGATTTGCAAGAAAGAATATATTGAATTTTCTCTGGATGATTTAAAAACTTTGAAGTGGCTCTCATTCATCTGGGAGAATTTAATATGAACTAAAAATAATAATCTTTATGAATTGGTAATAGAAGCATAAAACAATAAATCTTATAAACCCTTGCATAGTTAAGAATCTGTATTTTTTCAAATAATGGGATAAATGCCACTTAATGACTTGCTTTTTCCATTTTAAAAAATGAATAGCTCTATTACTGATCACACACTTTGCTATACCAATCCCCTTCAAGACTTTAATAACAAGACTATTTGACTGATACAATTATTTACAAAAGAACAAAATTTAGACATTAAGTACTTTGAAATAATTAATGAAAAAGTATTAAGAATTCAAAATACCACACAACTGAACCATAGGGTAGCTTAGAATTAGATGTGCATTATTACTAAAGAGTAATGATTTTTCATATATGTCCTCCATTAGCTATCAACTAAGACATAACTGAAAAAGCTGGTATTAGTAATTACAGGCAAAAATTATAACGAATGATCTAAAAGAACTAAAAACAAACCAAAGTAAAAATCCACATGCAGACTTCTCACAGTCCTTATCTTCTTGATGAAAGAAATACAACTTAATTATTAAAGTATAAGCAATAAAATGAGCTTTGAAATCAGACAGCTAAGAAAAATCTGTGTTCTAATCATTCTGAGTGAGGTTAGCCAGGCTCAGAAGACCAAAAATCATATGTTCTCCCTCATATGTGGACTTTAGATCCTGGGCAGATACAGCAATGTTGTTGGACTCGGATCACATGACAAGGGGAGAGCACATATGGGAGGTATGGGGATAGGTAGTAAACTCAAAACATGACAGCATTTGATGTCCCCACTCCAGAGGAACTAATCAGAAACCTTAAAGCGACAGAGGTCAATATGAGAAGGGGATCAGGAACCAGTGTAAAGATCAGTTAGAGATGAATCAACTTGGGTTGTAACACATTTGTACATGGAAACAATGCTAGGAATTTCTCTGTATAGCTATCCTTAACTCAACTAGCAAAAACGCTTTGTCATTCTTATTATGCTTATGTCTTCTCTTCAACAAAATTAGAGATAAGGGCAGAACAGGTTCTGCCTGGAAGCGAGGTGGGGAATGGGGGTAGAGGGTGAGAGCGAGGGGCAAGGGAGAGAAATGACTCAAACAATGTATGCACATGTGAATAAATGAATAACAAAAAAGAAAAGAAAAATCTGTGTTCTAGATGAATGGACCAGGTAATCTGTCAAATATGGTTTTGGCACTAAAATGTTATAATAGCTGTTCATAAAGGACTAAATTATTGTGATAATTTGAGTTATAAACTTTCAAACTTCATAATCTTTCTAACTCATCTCTTCACTAACCAACAAAATCCATCTTGGGTTAAAAAGTTATGTATTTCATATTAACTCATTAAGAATGGTTAAATTACACAGGTGTTTTCTTCAACTTCTTTTCATAGTACTTAGTAGGTTTTAAGTTTCTGTTCATAATGCCCCCTGGTTCATTTATATAACAAATGAAAAACATTTTGAATTTAATATAGGAAGAGAATTTAAAGTATGAGTTTTCCACTAAGCTGATCTACCTCCCAGTGAAATAAAGATCTCATACTGAAGCAGTAGCACAGCAGGACATAACCGAGGAATCCTTTGCACTTGAAAGATTTAAACTCCAGCCTTTACACTACATTGACAAAAAAAAAAAACAAAATCATGACCCACAGATCGGAGCTGAATGCTGTGATGGCACAGATCACTTACTATTTAAGTATATACTTTAGCTAAAGATAGTCACAATACTTTTAGCAATACTAAAATAGAATGTCACTAACACCTAATTCAGTTAATATAAGAAAATCATTTCATCAGGCCTTAAATTTTCCCACTACTTCATTCACTACCTTCTCCAATGATGACCCATGAAAGATATTACAAATATGTAAACATACTAATGAGACATTTCTATATTACTTTTGAATTAAAAATTAATGTTTATCTATATAACTTGTCCTTTAAAATTCAAAAGCATAAGTGTATATAAGAAATACCACTGCTAAAATTGATATTTAACTTCTTATATATAGTTTCAAGATATGGCATTAAATCAGTTTGAGGCATATAAGCTAAATAAAAAATGTACATGAGTTCAACCTTATTCAAAGACACTTCATTTTTACATAAACATGCATATGCCACTGGCTTTACTTGGGTCCTCAAAATGAACTATATATAGTTATATATGTATGTATGTATTTTAAAAGAAGATCTCAATTAATATTGTGCTAATCTTATATGATGGTAATAGCATTATAAAACAATTATCACTCTTTAAGACAAAAATTACAAACTGTTAAAAATGATATTCTTGTGAATAATCTTTTGCCACTGTAATTTCCTACAACCTCACAGGGCAAACCATGAGCATTTGCAAAGAATAACATCACGACTAAAAATATGCCTCAACTGCATATTAGAATCACTATGCTACATCTAGAATTCTTTTACTTATTATCCAGAAAGGGATTCCTTTATGGAAATAAGAATCTTTGTGTCAGGATTGCTTTTATATTGTATAAATACATACCTGTCTTAGTTCTAAAAACATTTTATTAGCACTTTTGACACAAAACTCAAATACTGTAACAATTACACAGCACTGAGTATACCATACTTAATCAAAGTGTGCAAAAAATACCAGATACTGTATATTAAATGAAAACTTACCAGACAGTTGTTTCCACTTGACTGTCATTGAGCTGCCGATTGTCCAGTTGGGCAAAAAGTGGAAAAAGCACTTGAATCCCTCCAATTGAATGAATTGCACTATGAATTGAATGCGTTACTATAGCTTTCACATCCTACATTCAAAAACAAAAGTCTTTATTAAATTTCTATGGCATGATTTTCATCACTATTTCCTTGTTCTAAATATCTTTCTAAGAAAATTTAAAAACATAATTTACATTTTAAGAGCTCTTAGTGGCTGGGATGTAGCTTGGTGGTACAGCGCTTGCCTAGCATGTGTGAGGCCCTGAGTTCAATACCAGCACCAAAAAAGAAAAGACAAAAAAAAAAAAACCTCTCCCCAAGAGCTCTTAGTTATATAATTGATATATATACACACAAAAACACTTGCATATAAAGTAAAAAATTGAGGTATCTTTGTTAATCATTTTTAAATTTGACCTTTACACTAAAAATATGAAGCTAAAACCAAAAGTTATTTATGGATTTAAAGACATTCAGGTAACTTTTATATCAGAGAGTAATACATTCTTAAAGCAAAGTATAATTTTACATCTAACAAGGACAAGTTCAGCTAAGCAAAAGATTTCATTTCAAATGACCTGGAAATGCAAGATAACAGATAGGATAGATTTCTTAAAAGAGAGACAAAGTGAAGGTAATGTATTATATCAGAAAAAAAAAAGTTGAAGACAAAAATCTAGGTTTAAAGAATTCAAAACAGGCCAAGCATGGTGGCTCACATCTGTAATATTAGGTATTCAGGAGGTGGAGATTGGGATGATCCCAGCTATGTGGGACACATAGGTAGGGGAACTACAGTTTGAGATTGACCCTGGGAAGAAGGCAGGAGACTCTATCTAAAAATACCTAAAGGAAAAAATGTTGGAGGCATGGCTCAAATAGTAGAGCCTACCAAGGCAATGCCACAAGTTAAAAACTCAGTACACCAAAAAAAAAATAAAATAAAATAACAAAAGAGTAATAGTATTTTTATAGATGAGCAGTATCTAATCAAATACAGGTACCATCAATGCAGATAAGAATGTTGAAAACTAAGTTACTATTCACCTACCTGAAGCATTAGAGCATGTGGGGAATGCACAAAAATCGATGCATTTTCCTTTGGTGATGACTCCAAGCATAGTTGAGCATCAGTGGCCTTGGCATTGTATGTAAAGGCAATACTACTTGCAAGTTTTCCATCATATAGAACCTGTTTATGGTGTTCTGCCAAATGAATATCACTCTCAGATTTAAACTTGAAGGTACTCTGAAAAAATAAAACTAATGTAAATACTCTTTTTAGAAGAAAACTGAATTTTTAAAGCAAAGAAACAATCACAAAAATAAACAATTTGCTATGTGCCTTCCATGTGTCTGGCACTTATCAACAGTGGCATCACATATTTAATTATTTTCACATCAGTTCAAAAAGTTACTTTTATTATGTTAATAATGATACACAGATCTTCATATTCTCATTTTCATGAGGTTTATTTGCAAAATAATTTCATTAGAAAAAATAAAGCCAGATTAATTACAAATAGGATTTTACATCGATACTGTATAACATAAATTTTTCTTGTTAGCACTTTCAAAAGTATTTATATGAATAAGCAGCTCCTCACAAATGACTTATTTAATACATAAAAACAACTATCAGCTGATAGTGGAAAAGGTTAATATGTAAAAATATGTTTATTTTTACTAAAAAAAGCATATCAACATACTGAACACCAATGCTATGTAACAATAACACAACATCCATGTTAAAATCAGAAGAAAAGTTTATTAAAACATGTTAATAACTTACATAAAAGACAGAAACTAAAGATGTGCTTACTACAATAAGAAAAACATTATTGAAGGTAGTTAAAATTGCTCTGCAGGTATGAATGACAATGACAAATAATATTTAATCTTTGAAACAATACCATGAAATCAGTATTGGCTGCTTTCAACTATATACTATGGAAACAAGTGTTATAGAAATGAAGATCTAGGAGGGAGGGAACCAGTACATAATCCCCAATCTTCTGACACAGAGTCAGTATTCAATGAATTGATACAGAAGTTATCTGAATTACAATCCGACTCTGCCACTAATTAACTTCTTGCTGTTTAGGATTAACTAGTATGACTCCAGCTTCCTAACTGATAACCAAGATGTTCCAACCTAAGTTCTTATGAAAAGCAAACAGATGTGCATAGAAGTAAAGTGGGTCAGTAGGGACCTTCTCAAACTAGAAAGCAAGGTCTGTCTGAAAGAAGCCCTCAATGCTCTGTGTAAGTCAGTTATAATACTACATTGCAAGTTCTCCTATGTTTTTCAAGAGAAAATATGAAGCCTGGGTTTTAATAGAAAATCATCCAGTCTTTAAATTTAATTCAAAAATATATTAGGCCAGGTTCAGGCAGCATTCTACTTCTTCACTAGTCTCCAGAGTATAACTCAGAATTGGATGCAAATCATTAATTTTCAGGCATGTTTCAAAACTAAAGCATAATTAAAATTGTATATGTGTATATAGGGATGGTACTTTTTCTCTTGTATATGTAAACATATTAGCTATATCATTATTAAAAATTAATAAATTTGCTACATTTGGATCAGACCTTTTATACTCTACTCAACTGAATGGAATGGAGAACATTACCTCTCACCTCAAAGTTTCAAGTTTTAAGTACTTTTGCAGAAACTCATGGATTCACACTTCCCAAGCCAGTGGTAACAGTTAAGTTTAAAATATGCCTTGGTTTAAAATAAATATTCTATTTTTGTCAGAAGTTTTCAATCAGAAGTTGAAACCAAGAATTTCTAAAAATAATATTTATGTGAAATTATGAATTAAGTAGCAATACTGCTAAATAAAAAATCCATCTAATGTGTTTTCTTTACCACTTGCCTTTGAATTGTAAAAGAATATTTTAATGCACATTTTGGTAATATCATAAATGCTCAAAAAATTTAGAATTTGTGTTTCTAAGCAATCATTTTAAAATAAAATTTAGTAAGTCAAATTATTTATGTTGTAGATCACCAACCAGAGAAGAATTACTTATTTTAGAGGAGTAAAATATGAGTAAATATGTAGAAACAAAAATTAACTTAGGGTACACAAGAAGTTAAGAGACCAAATAAGAAAAAAGTACTTCAAGATCATCCCTCTAGAATTTGTTCAAATATACTGTACACACATATGGAATTATCACAATAAAGCCTTCATGATAATTCAATGTGTACTAATTCAAAAATAAAAAATATTCAAATTTCAAAAAAATAATTTTTTTAAAACACAACAAGATTTCAATGAGCCAAGGACAAACAGGACTTTAAGAAAGTTGAACAGAGCTGCCTCCTTTTGTTGAAAAGCTGTATGTAAATGCTGGGAATAGTAACTGGAGGCAAAGTAACACATACTCTGCAAGTAAAATAAAGGAAGTTTTGTACAGAAATTTAAACATCAGACTGCAAGGAGATTATGAGCTGGAAGAATTAAGATTATACATAAAAGGGTTGAACTGACCAAAGTTAAGTATATTCACAGCTGGGATACATGGAGAAAACATTTTGAATATTGACTTTGAAATTAAAAATGAAAGATAGGACTGTAAAATAAATACAGTGTGTGTGGTGGGGGATACTTGTCTGAGGGAGGAGGGTGAATGGAGGAGATAAAGGTAAGGGAATATGGTTGATGGGTTTCAGATACATATATGAAACAGAATGATAAAACTTCTTGCAATTGCCTTGAGTGGGGCGGGAAGGGGATGGGGGGTGAAATGGTGAGGGCAATCTAATTAGTACAATGAATCTCCCCACACAATATGTATATAAATAAACATGAAAAAAAGAAAAAGAAAAGATTATACATAAATTCACATGTTCTCCCTCATATGCAGATTACAGACCTAAAACAAAAGCAGTAATATTATTGGACATGGGTCACACATAAGGGGAGAACATGCACTGGAGAAATAGGTGTGCAGAATGGAATAAGCACAGCTGTATCAACTAAACTTCAGGCTTGAGTTTGGCACAGCGCCCCAGCTGCAGAAGGGAGCAAGTGCAGTTATGCACAATAAATTACAGGCTTGAGTAGGCACAGACCCAGCCACAGAAGTGGGCAAAATGCAGTACAGCTGTTTTTCCTAAGATGTTTATGTTTGGAGAGAAGCAATCACAGGTTACTCTTGTTCCCAAGATTACAATGTCATGCCCCCTCCCTGGAGAACTGCTGCTCCACCTCCTTTTGTCACTGTATATAATAAACTCGCTGGAGGTGGAGGGGGCTGGTGTGTCTCCATCCAAGCACCCAGCCTACCTGTCCCCAGCTTTCTGCATGTTTGGTCATCTGTCTGTTATCTTTTTCTACATCTTCCATCTCCCCCACTTAAGTTTCTAGGACAAGCTCCTGCGGGATGCGAGAAATAGGGAAAGGAAAGGAAACCTAAAACTTGAATGTGGTTGACGTTCTCACTGTAGAGGAGCAAATAAAGTAATCTTAAATTGGCAGTGGCCACTATGGGAAGGGGACTAGGAAGTAGTGAAGAGGTCTGGTAGAGATGAACCAATGTGGGTTGCAATACACACGTGCATGGAAGCAATGCTAGGAATCTCTCTGTACAGCTATCTTTATCTCAAACTAGCAAAAACGCTATCTTTCTTATTATCACCAATGTTTTTTCTCCAACAAAATCAGAGAAGAAGGCGGAAAAGATTTTGCCCCAAGGGAGGGAAGGTGGGCAAAGGAGCGGGGAGGGGTGGCCCAAACAATGTATACACATATAAATAAATGTAAAAATGATAAAATAAAAGGGGAAAAAAAGTTTGAAGTAGGCCTGCATACTCACTCCAGAGCTCCAAGATAAATGTCTCACAACTGCTGCTTTTCCCATGGTTTTGCTAAAGCCAGTGCCAGTGGGAAATATTTACAAGATTTACCAGAAATTCTGTACATTATAACACCCAAATAAAGAGAAGCCAGACCAGACTTATGCTAAGATTATTCCCAAGCACCTTACAAAATAATATACCTATGAAGCATGTATCCAAACATATTATTCTAGTACTCCAAGTTTTTTTTAAAACTATGTTTTAGTGAATGTTTCCTACAGGAAGAGAATTTTTTGTAGAATTTTCTTATTAAATGATTTATTTAACAAATGAGTATTTTCCAACAAATTATGTAAAATGCTTTAAAAAAATTTTTAAGTTACCAAATCAAATATGTATAGCCCCAGAATATTATTTTATGCTGGTTTTATAAGGAGCTTTAAAATATGATATTTTATCAACTACAACAGGTATTCATTCTTCCTACATAATTCCATCCATAAGCAATATTTATTTATAAAGATTTACTAAAACAGTGAAATGTATGTAGTAGTAAAGAACTTAAATAACATTCTACAGAGTGTTCAGTAATAATGAGCTGTTTTAATTTAAGAGTGTCTCTTAAATACAAGCTACACCAGCAAAAACACAGCAAATTACTTACTTGTTTGCTTAAAGTATATTAAGATTATAATTATTTGCTCTATGTCTTATGTTACCATTTTAATGGTATTTTTAAGAATTTTAAAGGTATTTAATATAAACACCTTAAAACGATAATAATGGCTGAGCATTAACTCTAAAGTGGCAAAGGAATACGTCAAGTAAACAGGTATTTTTAAAAGTAAAGACCAGAAGAAATAAAGTATGTTATTTACTGTGAATGTTCCTTCTTAGGTTGAAATATATAAGATTACAGAGCATCACTTACCATGAATTAATTAACATTCTGTATGATTTTAAAAGTATACAGATGATTAAGCCTAATACCAAAATCAGGAATCATATTTCTTACCATGAAATATCAAGAAAATGCTAATCTAATTTTAATGGTTCCATTGGATGGAAAGTACAGCCAATATGGGCAAATTTTTCAGTTTACCATTATATACCACCTACAACCCCAGTGGAACTTCAAGAGCAGCTTAAAAATCTCAAATGAACTCAAACCTATTAACCACTAAATGTGTAATATTGTATTTGACTAGTTTGCCTGTTTCTGGCCTTCAAAGGTAAACACTGACATGATTAGTTGTTTCAGAAAGGATAAAGGAACAATTTTCCCTTTTTTGTAACAATAAAGTATAAAACAAAATATATAAAATGCAGTATGATTTAACAGCTAATACTTGTGGAAATCAGATTTATACTAAATGCTTTACAAGTCTTATTTAAGAAATGTTATGTACTTAAAAATATTATTGGGAAGGAAG